ATCTTCTGACAACCCACACCCTCACAGGCAGGAGGAGGACAGACCTCCTCAAGTGGCATTGCCTGGCCTGGACAGGGTTGGTGTCCTGCCGAGGAAACGCTGCTGATCAGCTTTTTCCCACTCTCACAACACATTACCTCTGTTTGCCTGAGCTCCACCGATCTGGGGCCGCAGCCTCGGATCTCCATGCCGCCGCCAGACCCTTGCGCAGCTCCAGTGTGTGTGTATCCTCCTTCTCCTTCCAGGCAGATCTGCAGGCCCCTCCCCAGGGAGGGAGTGTTCAGCTCCATGCTGACCCCCTCCCTCTGACATGGGAGCAAGTTSTTGTTCCCACCTGGCTTGCAAGTGCCCACTGCTCCCAGAGCAGACGGTCAGGAGTTTGCAGTTTTCTGGAGGCAGACACCTGTACCAAGAMAAATCCCGATCCGTTCTCCTTTCCTGATGTGTGCACCCTGAGACAACGTCCTGCTGTAAAGGCTGGGTGTGCTGGGCACGAGGGGACATTACCAGTGCTATGGTGCATCTCTTCTCTAGTCCGAATCATTTCAGATCCTTTGTAGAATAGCTCGCGACTTGGAAAAAACTTTATGGCTTATGGAAACTTACTTGTTTAATGTTGTTTTTTTTTTTTTCCGGGAAGACTGGCAGGTCAGTTCCTGCTTGCTGCTGAAACTGGGGAAATGCAAGCAGCTTGCATTTCTGCGTGACTCCTCCACAAAGGGAATCAGGACAATTCAGATCCATTGAGAACGAAGATTACCTTAAGGGCATTCATTAACGTTTTTAAACAAAAATTAAAAAAAAAAAAAAAAAAGGTTATGACATTCAGTATATTAAATATTTATCATGTGTGAGAAGGAAAATAAATCTTGAATTTACATTTATAAGCCTTCCCCTGAGCTGGACTTAGTCATGTAGATTGTGTAAGTAGGGTTCCCTCAGTGCCAGCACCCAGCCAGCTCCCGCTGTAACCAGAGAGGTCTCTGCACTGCTCTGTCCACCTCCGCTTCGCATTGTCACGTGTTAACTAGTTAYTTGTTTCATGAAAAAATAAACTGTGAATATTTTTGGTGCAGGCTTTTTTAAATCTGTAAAATGGAGAAGTTCTCAGTGAATTCTCACAAGAGCAGGTTTGAAAAAAATCACTTCTATAAATCGCGGGCTCACGTAGCAGGGTGAGGCTCACGGCAGCAGCCGCCTTTCATGCAGCAGGTGCTTACCCAAAAGCTTGTTTGGAACAGTAAACGTGGATTAAACCTTTGCATGGCCTTTCCCACAGCCTTCTTYATTGCAGCTACTGTACCCCATCTCCTCTTGTCTTCCTTTTCCACAAGGATCCAGGTTTCTGCCTTGCTACCTTGCAACTGCTGTTGGAGAGTTGAGTTCAGCTAGGAGGCTGCTTGGCAAAATGGGGTTGAGGAACATCATTGAAAAAGGAAGCTGTTTTTTCCACTTTGCCCTCACTGGGGCTCTGGGCGATGCTCTCTCATATCAGGGGGGCTTTTCAGAGCTAGTAGTGGTACTTTTGGGAGTGTCTGGGCTGTGCTGGGTCACACAGACAAGGCCTGAGCAGGTATAGAGAGAGATCCCAGCAGCCCTGCCCTGTCCAGGCTGCCCTCATCAGGGAGCATGAGCTGGGGAGTGGCTTTGGGCAGTAAAACATTAGTGAAGGAAATGAGGGCATCTTCTGTAGAGGTGACTCACTGTGGCAGCAGCTGGCAGCACTGCTTTGGAGGAGGAGAGGGACATGCCTGTGCTGAAACAGTTGGGTTTGTTTGCTGCCTTCAGAGTTCAGCCAGTTTGAACCCCACGGTGGGGTGGAGGCAAAGTAACCCATACTCCTGGCAGACTCTGTGGGGGAGAGATTGCTGCAGCCTGATGCTGGGCTCAGACCTTTGCTGCAGCCCCATGCCAAGGCTGTGATSCTCTTTTGCTGTGCTGGAGGGGTCCAATCACTTGGTCACTTATTCCTGGGTCAGCCCTAATTGCACCCAAGGTGGGTGAGAGGTGACTCCTGTGTTGATTCACTGGTGTGGWGCGCTGTAGAAGCAGAATCAAGGGTATAATTATCTCTGTCCCTTCTCTGGTATTCCATGACAGCTCACAGGAATTTTCCAAGCTCATTCCTGGTAGGAATGGCTCCCTCTTGCTGTTTCTGAAGAGGATGAAGGTTCTGCTCCCATACAAACACTTTGCTGGTTGGTGTCCTTGCTGCCAGGATAGCTTTGCTGCTCAGAGCAGTGGGCTGGGGTCAGCGGCTGTGGCCTCCACCCCAGAGCAGAACCCACTGTAGTGTTGGATTTCCACTGTGGTCAGGAGAGTCCCCGGTGACCTTTGGTGATGSAGGAGCCACCACAGGACCTGTGGAATGTGTGGGCAGGAGGGGAGCAGGCACAGGCCCCTGTCTTGTGTGGCTTGTCCCATCTTCCCCCTTGCCCACTGTCAGCCAGGGCTCTGGTGAATCTAACAGGAGAGTTATCACTGTAAGGGATAATCACTTCAACTACTACACATCTCCAGATGCAAATTAGCTCATGGTAGCTTGCTTTATTGCTGTTCTCCARTTAAACTTCTCCTATTTTAACAAAAGAACCCCACAAGGGCGGGAGTCACTCCAATACACAAAGCATCTGGGTGGTACCATGGGAGCACGTGTTAATTCGGTGTTAAACCCCTGCAGGCAGAGGCTCTGAAGGTGTGGCTGGTGTTAAAATTTGGGAGATAAGAGAGATTGTTGAATGTAAAGGACATTAAAGAGCTAAGGTGAGACAGTGCATTTCTAGAAAAGCTTCAGCTTAGTTTCACAGAAAAAAAGGAAGGATAAAAAGCAGCCCTAATCTTAATGCTCTTGGCAGTGTTTTAGCCCCGAGCATACTGTGGATGTGCCCAGCTCCTGTCTGGACACCGTAGCCAGTGTTGTGACAGGGCAGGGGGACTTTGAGAAACCTCAGACCTTCAACACCTTCTGTTTATTTTTAATTTCAGCCTTAACTTCTGATTTTGCTTGATGTTTGGAATAACCATAATTGTAACCTGCTTGTAATGTGMTTTGCCCTAAATTACTGATGAGGCTTTCGGCATTTGCTAGCCAGTGAGTGTTAAAGCAAAGTCGCAAATCGTGCAGCTACTCTGAAAGTATGGGGGGGATGCTGTGTTTGATCTCCCAGGCTTTGCCCGTGCTAATTACCCACCCTCCTGCAATAGTGATAACGCTGGTGGCMGCATTTGCAGCCGAGGCTGCTCCTCTGGCAGCAGCACGGCTGGGCTGATGGGTGCTTGGGGCTCCCAGGGCCTGGGACATGGGACACTGGAGCTTGGGGACWGCTCTGCCACATGCCTGGCTTCAGCAGGAGTTTCAGCTGTGGGGTGGCAGTGTCCTTGCTTAGCAGGTTGTGGGAGAATGCAAGATTCCTGCTCCAGGTCCTACAAAAGTGATGTAAGCAAAGTTCGGTGCCGGGGGGACAGGACAGGTTGTGTGAGCTTGGGCTGGAGGAGCAGCAGTGATGGACAGTCCCTACAGCACTGAATCTACCTCCTAGGGAAATCTGAGAAATGGGTGTTGCTATGGCCTATTTCAAGGTAAAGTTTTAATCAAGTTTGCCCTTGGCKAAGCCCTTGGGCTATTGTGGTGCTATTGTAAACCGTAGGCAGCTTAGCACAGTAGGGCTGGACTCACGGCTCCTGGCCCACGGGCTGGGGCTTCTTGGCCAGCTGATCCCATCTCCCTGGAGCTGGGGCCAGGCTTCAGCACGTGTGACTGAAACAGGACGAGGAGTCACTCAGTTCCTTCAGTTTATGATGGTTTTGAGACTCAAGCCAGTGTGCCACTGAGCCCCGTGGGGAGCCCGTGGAGCCACGTGAAGCAAGCAGGCATCCGCTACTGCATGTTCTTCGTGTCCGTTTGGTACTGAGCTGGTTTCAGTTTTTGTTTCTTTTTCTGATGTTTCCGAGTTGTTGACTTCAAGGAACTGGGTTTTGTGTATTTTTTTAGACACTGGGAACTTGTTAAAAGGAAAAGCAGCAAGCACCGGGAGGCTCAAGGTGGAGCATGGCTGGAGCTGAGGGTGGCCCTGGCTGGCTGGCAMGGGTGGGAGGTGAGAGGTGTTGGCAGCAGCGGGCACTGGCAGGGATGGCTCTCCCTGCGAGGGGCCACAGAAGCCTTTCAGCAGTGGCACTCCCAGCCCTGCAGGTCCACGGTGCTGAGCTCACTGCCCCATCAGCCTGCTCGCCCCCGAGACACTGACCGTGATGGACGCTGTGCCTCGCTTTTCATGTCCYTTGCCACCTTCCAGCACTGTGTGCTTCGAGTGGGGTCCAGGCTGCCAGCTAGCCGAGGGCCCTGGGGAGTGGCTGCCCCTGCCCTTCCTCACTGCCGGAAGATATGGGGGGCCGCTCGTGGCAGCAGCGTAAGTTGTGCTGGAATCATGAGTGGGAGGTTTGCTCGTGGGGAGAACCTTGGTGTGAGCAGYACCAAGCTGCTTTCCTTCCCCTCCAAGGTCTGCTGCCCACAGGGTGGCAGCAGATGGGAGTCCCCACAGAGTCCTGTTCTGCAGGCTCAGCCAGAGGGAAATGCATCAGGAGTYGAGAATCCCAGTCAAGGCAGGGGCCAGCCACAGCACTGTGGGGGGACACGGGGGTGCTCAGCCCTGGCCAGGACTCGTCTGTCAGTTGTAAGCAGGAATGCCAGAGCAGGTGAGAGAAAATGACATATTTCCAGCATGTATATTATTTTTAGAAGAGGGAGAGGGGAGAGTCTTGGACCATTGATTACTTTCATTTTGCTCCCCTTAGACTGTTGGCTGTGTATGTGAAACTTATAATGAAAAGAGGGTTGCCCTGCCCAGGTGCTCCCAGAACATGTACTGTAATTCTTTGTATATAGAAGAAAAATTACTGTAAAGTAAAGTTTAACTTTACTCTCGATGTCCTCTTGTGGTTTGTSTTGCTGAGTGGGGGGAGGCAGGGAAGGGAGAGCCCCGACAGCCTGACGTGCAGGGGGATGACTCAGACCACAATGCATTTTATTTACATACATTGTACACCTCAAGAGAAGACGCTTAARTAAATCTGCAAAGAATCAAGCATCTCCAAGAGAATAAGTTACCGGCCACCGCTGGGCCACCACAGCTCCCACAAACACCACAGGTGGCAGGGAGGTGGCCCCACGGGTGACAGTCCATGGATTCCCRGCACTGCACGGCAGCCCTGTGCCGCTCCGTGTGCCAGGAGAGCAGTCCGTAGGCTGTGCCGTGGACAGGCCCAAACAGCTAAAACACAGCAGGTAAAAATCCGGAAGAGTCCGGCGCATGCCAGCTGCCCAACTGGCAGCAGCAATTCCCTTTTGGCACAGGGGCTCAGTGGTGGCAGCAGCTGTAGAAGTAGGGACTGTTCCTCTGGTCCAGGTTGACAGCCTTGTCCTCTGGAAAAGAGCAGGAGCAGCAGGCTGCTGGTACATCCACACCACCAAAGCTGCTGGTCCCAGGTGTGGGCCCCTTGCAGGGTTTGAGTGCCCCATGGAGAAGTGATGAGGTTCAGGGTCACGGCACCGCTCACAGCCACGGCTCAGGGCGGGAGGCACAGCCAGGCTGGGCATGCCTGGGCAGGGCTGGTGCGGAGCAGAGCCACTCCTGCAGCCGATGAGGCTCCTGGCTCCCGGCTGCCACAGGCCACTGAGACCCAGTGGGGTGGATGTGCTGAGCCTGGCCTGAGCAGGCACCAGGATGCTGTGATGGAACTCCATGGGACACAGCACGGAGCTGCAGCAGCCCCAGGGAGGGCCTTGCCCGACCCCCAGAGCTCATCTTTGCACCTTGCCTAGAGTCAGGGCACCCCTCAGCAGGTGAGAGGGTGCCTGGGGAGGGACAGGTCCTGCCTACTCACCTGTCATCACCTGGAAGGCGGAGAAGTTGACGTAGTCCTCGGCCACCTTTTGGAACAGCTCRTCTGGAGGGAGAAGGGCATGGCGGGTGTGGGTGCCCCCCTGCCAGGCAGAGCCCCCAGCCCTGCTCCAGGCCATGGTCCCAGCTACTCACCCACACTCTGGCCCGTTTTACTCGAGGTCTCGAAGAGGTCTGCTTTGATCTCTGAAACGAGGGCCCGTGTTGGCACTTGCTGCAGGATATGGCTCCACGGGCTTGTGTGCCCCCAGAGTCACCCCTCGGGCACGGCTGCCGACAGCGGGCTGGCAGGGACCCAGGGCAGGGCTCCCGGCCCCTTGGCCCAGCTGGCCTTGTGCCTGCCCATGTGAGGACATGCTGTGCCCAGGGAGGTCCCTGGCAGAGCCCGTGCCTCACCACGCTGAGAGCTCTGATGCCACTGGATCTCCTGCGAGCCCACGGCAAGGACAGAGCTCCTCGTGTGGATACAGCAGCTCCTCATGTGGATACAGCAGCTCCATCTCCCCTCACTCCCCACCCACTCGACACTGCATGAGCCCAGGAAGGGCCAGCATCGGCCGTACCATCAGCATAGTCCTGCACATCGTGGAAGTCAACTCCCCGCTTCCTCCTGTCCTCCTCCAGCAGGTCGCTCTTGGTGCCGCACAGGTARATCCGGCAGCCCTGCAGCAGGAACGGGGGTGGGAGGGCTGTACCCACGTCCCCACCACCAGCACCCCTTGCCCCGTGCCAAGGCTTTGCAGCCCCCTGGCCACCCGTACCTCCTCGCAGTTCTGCAGCTCGTTCACCCAGAACTTGGCTCGCTGGTAACTGCCACTGTCAGTGAGATCTGGGGACAGGAGTCAGGGTCTGCTGACACCGCTCCTCAGCGCCCAATCCTCCAGTGTCACCACCACCCTGCAACGGGACCTTCGCAGCCGCTGGCTCCTTCCCCTTCCCATTCTCCACACCCTTACCATAGCAGACGATGGCAGCCCGGGCTCCCCGGTAGTAGATGCGGCTCATGGCCTCGTAGCGCTCCGARCCCGCCGTGTCCTGGGGGCGACAGGGCAGTGCTCGGCAGGTGACAGGGGTCGGAGGGTGTCAGSGGTCCCCGAGACAGGGGGCAGCCAGGGATGTCAGCGGGGCGCCGGCACTTACCCAGATGCCSAGGGTCACTGTCTGGTCCCCCACGGTCATCACCTTGGCCACGAAGGCGGCTCCGATCGTCTGGAAGAGAAGCAAGAGAAGAGCTGGGAACCGGCCCGCGGGTGCGGGGCCAGCCGGCCTGAGAGCACGGTGGAAACCGGCGCAGGGACACGGGGGAATTCAGCCCGGGGGGGTGGGAAGGAAGGTGAGGAAACGAGGGGACCGAGCAGCGGGCGCGGGARGGATGCGGCGGGTCCCACAACAACAGGAGGGGACGCCGTCCCGGAGACGCGGGTGGCAGCATCCCGGGGACACGGCGGGGAAACGGGGGAACCACGCGCGGGTGACACGGGAGGGGCTCATCCCGAGGAAGCGGGGGAGGCACGGGGGGCGCCATCCCGGGGACGCGCTGCAGCACCGCGGGGCCGCCAGGTGCCGGTGGCGGTGCCGGTGTGTCACTCACGTTCTGGTAGGGCCCGGGWCGGAAGCGGCGGTGGGCGCAGCGCTCCACGAGGCTGCTCTTGCCCACCCCCTCCTGCCCCAGCAGCACCACCTTGGCGTCCACCCGCCTCCCGCTCATCCTCGCGCCGCCGCCGCCGCGGGGCGGGGCCGCACCGGGCGGGGCGGGGCCGGAACCGGGAGGGGCGGGGCCGGAAAGGGGCGGGGCGTGCCGGAAGTGCGCAGWGCGGGGCGGAAGCGCGCGGCGGGGCGGGGCGCGGGGGCCGCATGGCGGCTGCCCAGCAGGCGCGGGCCTGAGCGGCGGCCCCATGGGGAAATACTGCGCCAGCCTGGGCGTCCTCAAGGGGCCCTGGGACCAGGTGTTCGCCGCCTTCTGGCAGCGCTACCCCAACCCCTACAGGTGCGCCGGGACCMTCCCCGACCCCCCGCCCCTTTCCGCCGCCCCGATCCCCCCCGGGATTGGTGCCGCTCCCCGTCCTCAGCCCAGCCCTTTCCCTGGGGGTCCCGACGGCTCCAGCTTTCGGGGATGGATGTCCCGCACCGCCAGTGCCCAGCGGGCAGCTGGTTTCCTCCTCCCTTAATCCCTCAATCCCTGATGATTCCCAGCCCCGGGGGATGAGTTGGCGAGGAGCAGGGCTTAATGTTTTCTTCCCCATTTTAGCAAACATGTCCTGACCGAAGACATCGTGCACCGGGAGGTGACGCCGGACCACAAGCTGCTCTCCCGGCGGCTCCTGACCAAGACCAACCGGATGCCGCGCTGGGCAGAGCGCTTCTTCCCAGCCAATGTCGCCCACTCCGTCTACATCCTGGAGGACTCTATCGTGGACCCCAAGAACCGAACCATGACCACATTCACCTGGAACATCAACCACGCTCGTCTGATGGTAGGTGCTGCTGCCGGGTGGGTGTGTGGGGAGTGGAGGGGACGCAGCAGTGCCCACGGCCCGACTGTGCCTTGTGCAGGTGGTGGAGGAGCGCTGCGAGTACCGGGTGAACCCCGAGAACAGCAACTGGACTGAGGTCAAGCGGGAAGCCTGGGTATCTTCCAGCCTGTTTGGCGTCTCGCGGGCCATCCAGGTGAGCACTGCTTGAGCAGTAAAGCTGCTGCTCCCCCCCTGCTCTACCCTTTCCTTGTGCTGGTTTTACACCCTTTGCCCTTATTTCTCCCCATGCCCCGGTCCTCTTGAGTTCTTGAGGCACTCAGCACCGTCACTGTGAAAATCACTGTGATTTTTCAAGCTGGGACAAAGATCCAGGGGCTGTGACAGGGCTCACACCTTCACTGACTTTTGCCTTGCAGGAGTTTGGTCTGGCCAGGTTCAAAAGCAACGTGACCAAGAGCACTAAGGGATTTGAATACGTGCTAGCAAGAATGCAAGGTGGGCACCAAGGGCAGGCTGGGGCTGACCGAGATGGGTCTCTTGGAGTTAGAAGTCACACTGGGAACACTCCAGTCCCCGGGCAGGTTGTGGCTTGAACTAATCTGACTGTGAAATCCTCACCCCTTGACTTTGCCCTGTGTCTTGGCACAGGCTGCTCTTCCTGAGTGGAGCAGCCCAGCAGTGATTGCAGGGCTGGGCAAGGGTGGAGTGCAGGCAGGAGGGGATGGAACATGGCAATGCTCACATGTCTGTGGTTCCCTTTTGCGACGTGCCCTGACGTGCTGGGGTCAGGAACGYCGGGCTCATCTTCCTCCCTGCGTGGGGAAGTGCCTCGGTGGCAGGGCCGGTCTAGCCGGCACTCCTGTGGGGTTAATGGCTTCCATGTTGTAGGAGAAGCTCCATCCAAAACACTGGTGGAGACAGCCAAGGAAGCGACCGAGAAAGCCAAGGAAACAGCCCTGGCTGCTACGGAGAAAGCCAAGGACCTGGCGAGCAAGGCAGCCACCAAGAAGAAGCAGTACGTGTGAGGGGCCAGCTGCACCAGGACAGATAGGAGACTCCTTAGATTTTATATTTTTAAAGAAACTGTAYAAGTCTGACAATCAGCTGCTGTTAGACCCTTTCTGAGATGTAATTATCATTAAAGAATCTACTCCCACCTCTGATTTGGCTCAGGCTGGCCTGGCTAGAGCAGAGCCCAGCGTTGCTCTCCATTCTGGGGGGTCCAGCTCTCTGCAGGGAAGACACAGGCCGGGGTTTTTCGAAATAGTTTTACTATAAAGTGTTGGGTCTGTACAAGAGAGCGTAGTGGCTGCGGGGGGATGAAGGCAGGTTGCTTAATGCACTCGTTTCTCCTTCCTGGTGCTCCAGGGGCGGGAGAGCAGAGAGCCTTCCTGTAGCTGTATCTGCAGTGGGCAGCACCGCCCCATACTCATGCCAGGCAGCCCCCAGACTGCCTGGGAGTGCACAAGGAGAGGCAGGAGGGTGTCCCTGTGACAGCCAGGCCTCCTTCCAGCACCTCTTCTAATGCTTTGTGGTGCACAGCGGGTGCCACAGCGCAGTGCCAGCCCTGTGCACCCAGTGCCACAGCCAGTGCCACCCAGCTGTGGGGGGTAAAGCTGGACTCTTGCCCCCATCTGTGCCCCCTTACCCTGGCAGCTGTGGTGAGGCTGGCACAGGCTGGGTTTCTGGCAGGAAGGAGGCAGGCAGGCAGWGCAGGGAAGGCAGCAGGCACCGTCAGGACGCGGGGCTGTGCGGGCTGGAGTAGCTGTGGTCCCTCCCGGTGCCAAAGCTGGGCAGCAGATCCCCGCCGAACACCACGCCATCCACCTCTACCTCGGCATCCTCTGGGCACCAGGRGGAGGCCGGATCAGGCCTTTGGCTGCTTTCTGTCCCTACCCCTCCTTGTTCTTTCTCTCCCGTCTCTTACCTCCCTCGGAGGGCTCTGAGAGCTGYGATGAGTCCAGGCTGTCGGCCCGCGCCCGTTCCCCATCAGTGGGCAAGAGCAGCCGTTCCAGCCGCCGCTGCAGGCTCCGCTGCCGGTCCCGCAGCCGGTCCTTAGCCTTTCGTGCCCTCAGCTCCTGCTCCTCGAGCCTCTGCGGGGACCCAGTGAGCCGTAAGCGGGYTCCGAGCAGTGCGGCCCTGTTGCCACACAGGGCTCCCCGAGCGGTGCCGGGACCACCCTCTCTCACCTGGATGTGAAGCCGGGCACGGTGCAGGAGGCTCAGCGTGGTGGGACGGGAAGACCCCGCGCCCACCGGCACCTGCTGCTTCAGCCGCTCCAGGCAGCACCGGAGCTGGGCTCTCCTGCGGCCGGGCAGGGGGGAAACGACACGGGGGTCAACCGCGGCGAGTCACGGACACGATCATCCCTTACCCCGCCGCATTTCCCCCCGCGCCCCGGTACCTGTGCTTTTCCAGCGCGTTGTGCACCGACCTGCCGAAGAGACCCCGGTAATCAGCACCGTCGCCACCGGCCGCCGCTATCCTCCCACCCACCACTCGCCCGCCGCTCACCTGACGCTGCCCACGGCCCGGCGCGACGGCGCAGGGCAGAGAGCGGCGTAGCCGTGCTCGGCCTCGGCCAGGCCGAGCGGGTGTCGGTGCTGCCGGTGCTGCCGGTGCTGCCGGTGCTGCCGGTGCTCCAGGAACTCGGCCGCCTGCAGCAGCACCTGGATGCTGGTGGCCGCGGGCTCCATGGCGGGAGGGGGGGGCCGCGAGCCGCGCGCTCATTGGCTGCAGGGCGCCCCGCGCCGCTGACGTCACCTCGGCGGGCAAACAAATTCAGGCGGGAAAGCGCGTGCTTCAAATTCGAATCGGCGGGAGGGGACGGTACTGGCCACGCCCCCTTAGCGGTAGACCACGCCCCCAGAGCAGGCCACGCCCATCGGTGTTTAGGCAATTATCGCTCTGGGTGACGCCCCCCCCCAGGCCACGCCCCCGGGAAAGGCGCGCCCGCCCCGCCCACGTGCGCGCCCGGTGACGCGCGGGGCGCGGATCGCCCGTGTCCGCCCCAGCGAGCCCGGCGGCAGCGAACACACCTGCGCTGTCCCCAGCACCTTATCCCGCGTCCCACCCAGTCCACGGGTGTCCCCAGACCGGTCGCTCCCACCGGCATCCCGGGAATCACCGCGATCCAGCGCCACGCGGCTCAGACAGACCCGTTTATCTCTTTATTAAAATCCATCGGGCGGAGGCGATGGGGCGGGAAGGGGAGCGCCGGGCCCCAGCCCCCGGGCACGGCACGGCACGGGCGGCCCCGGGGCACCCGATGTCATGTGAGGGCTGTTTGCACCTTCTCAGGCCRGGCCCCGGGGGGAGACTCTGCCCCGGGCCCAACAGCAGCCAAAGTTCACCTGAAAAAAAACCACCACGAGGCACATTTCCAGCCGGGGGGCAGGTGCACAGCAGCAGCAGSCAGCTCATCGAAAGCAGAGCAGGCCACGGTGCATCAGGAGAGGCGGCCCTGCGCCCACCATCACCCCATACGCGCTTCCACCGGCTGTGGGGTCCTGCCCCTGTGCACCGGAGGAGGTCTAACACCATGTGGGGGGGGTCCTGCCACCATGCCCGCCAAGCTCCGAGGAGAGTCATGGGGCCGAGGTGCTGTCCGGCAGTCCCAGAGTGGCCCTGAGCTCTCAGTTGCGTGGCCTCCTYGGATGCAGATGTGGCAGAGGGGCTCTCACTGGCTCCGGGCGCAGCGGGACGTGGGCGGGAGGTGTGTGGTGTAGCAGTGGGTGCAGACACGCACAGGTTTGCTCTGGCTGTAGTGCGGCAGCACTGCGGCATTTGGTGAGCAGCGGGCACAGAAGATCTGTCAGGAGGCCAGAGAAGGGGCTGAGCCGAGCCGGGTTCCTCAGGGAACCCCATGTACTCCATCCCAAGCCCGTCCTACCTTCCCACAGCTGCGGCAGTGGTGCCGGCGGCGCAGCAGGGTGAAGGGCGAGCGGCAGGCAGAGCACTGGCTGCATGTGCTGTCTGGCACCCATTCGGGCAGGCAGCGGGCACCTACTGGGCAAAACATCAGTAAAAGCCCCTCACCCTGGCTCCCCTCACAGCCAGACTCCCTCAGGGACGATGAGGAATGATCAGCTCAGCCTCACACCCTTATCCCGGAGTTGTGGCACCTGGGGAGCCCCCTTACCTGCCCTCCGGAGCCCRGCAGCCTCTGCAGGGCTGGAGCACAGTGGGCAGTCAGCCACATGAGGAGCATCTGTCACACAGGAGCCACCATCCTTCTCTTCTGTGGGGACAAGAGTTGTGGTGCTCCAGCCAAACTAGAGCCAGGTACTACAGCCACATTTTCCCCAAGCCTGGGCTGTGGCCTTGTCTCACCAGGGACGGTGATGGGTAGGTAGAGAGGAGCAGTCCCACATGTCCATGGGGATTACTCACTGCTGGCATTGTGCTCCTCTGAGGGCTCTGCCTGCGAGGACACGATCTTGAAGACSGTTTTCAAGATGCTCCGCATGTCACTGGCAAAGTTGGTCTGGAGCTGATCAGCCACCCCTGTATCAGGAGGGTGAGGGATCAGGGTGTGAGGAGGTTCAGGGTGCTGGGGGGTTGTCTTGGGGGTCACTCACCTGAGATGCAGACGAAGAGGGTGTGCAGCATGTCCTTGGTGCTGCTGTAGCGGGAGCGCAGCTCCGAGCAGCGAGCACCTGGGGTGACAGTGAATCCCGTCCATGGGCTGCTCCCAAGGGGCTGGGGGCTGCACTGGGGGGAGGTGACCATCACGCCAGCGGTGGTGTGAGATGTCCCTGTCCCAGTGGACAGGGATCTGCCATCGTGGCCCCGTTCCCTGTCCACTGCACGCCCCCACTGCCAACCGGTGCTCGGGTCATCCGCCGCACCGGGGGGTTCCAGTCGCGTTGTGCAGGTGGGGGGTGGCGGGGTGGAATGAGGGCTCTCCAGAACACTGACGGGAGCAGGGGGGTCCACTCTGGGCACAGCTGCCCCCCAGGCTGGGGGTGTGTCTGGACTGCAGGGATCCTCCTGTTCTGCTGTGCACAGGCTCCTCTCCAGCAGGCAGAGCTCCTCTGCTGACAGCACCCACAGCAGGTCCCTGCGGAGAGGGGTCAGCATCAGCCCCGTGTCACGGCCCTACTGCTTCCCCTCAGTCCCACCCATCGACCCCCACCGCACACCTGATCTTCCTCAGGAGGTTGTAGAAGGGGCTGAAGACCCGGGACATCTCCTCAGGACKCCGCTCCAGGCTGAGGGGACCCTCAGGGTAGATGAGGAGGCCGCTGTGAGGGGACAGAGCACAACTCATGTCASGGGTTGCCTGGGACCCCAACTCCCCATGGGGAGAAGGGGCTGGTACAGGGCATGGAACAAGTCCCTTCTGCAGGGACTGCACCCACCTGATGATGGCCAGGCGAGGGATAGTGAACATCAGCAGTGGTTCATAGCCATCAATCATCTCYTGGGTCAGGTAGCCCAGGTGCAGGGCTCTGGGGACACACAGACCCCCTCAGTGAGCCTGAGCCTCAGGATTCTGAACATCCTTGGGGCTGGGGGGTCCCTGCCGCCCCCACCTGACCCACAGTGCCACRCTCACCTCTCCACTGTCTCACAGAAGAGCACGATGATCTCCTGCTGCCTGTAGATCTCCTCAGGAGACTTCACTGCCACCAGTGAGGACACGTAGCTGGAGAGATGGGGAGACTGTGAGGCCGAACAATCCTGGCATAGTCCCCCACCACCCCAGCACCCTAACCCTGGCCTCTACCTCAGCTCAAACTCAGCAAAGAGCCGGTCAAATTGGATGAGCACAGCCCGGACAGGTTCTGGGTAGGAGTTGGGCTGGTTCAGGCTCTGCTCCCGCAGCACTGTCCGGACCAGCTCCAGGCTGCACAGCAGATTCCTGGCCTGGGGCCGCAGCTGTGCCCCATCTGACTCCTCCACCTCCAGGAAGGTCCCAGCCAGGAGACACTGCCRGGATAGGGACTGTCAGGATCCTGCACCCCAGGCAGTGCCTGAGCCCAGGGTAAGCTCATGGTGGGGTGTCCATCACCCCAGGGAGCCAGAACCCCCAGACAGCATCCCCGGGCTCACCTCGGCAGCAAACAGCATGTGGTTCCCCAAATTGTCCACYAAGAGCTCTTCAGGGAACTTGACCAGGTAGTCACGGCTGTGCCGCTGTGTGGGGATGCACTCGTCCATGATCCGCTCCAGGACGGCCAGCAGGTGAGCCTGGGGAGGACAGGGGTGTCACTCGTGGCTCCCCAGAGGGACCGGGTCACCCCAGGATCCGGGCTGGCCCCGTACCTGGCTGACGTGRAGCTGGTTGAGGAGCACCAGGTACTGCTGCGGGTCCAGTTCGGCATCCAGCCCGTTGATCTCGGCCACCACCCGTGTCACCCTCTCGTCGGCAAAGAAGAACTGGGAGAGCAGGCGCGGGTCGGAGCGCTGCGGGGAGAGCAGAGGGTGATGGTGGGAGCACCCCGCATCTCCATTCCCGTCCGCGGGATCCCAAATCTCCCCTTCCCACAGTCAGGCGGGGTTCGGACCCCACGGATCCACAAACACCCATCCGGGCAGGTTGGTCCGTGGGACCTCCCACGGCAGCTCCGGCTCCTCCCGGGGAGCGCCGCCTTCCCCACCCACCCGTGCCTCAGTTTCCCCGGGGCAGAGCAGGATGAACAAGCTCAGCCGCCTCCCGGCAGCTTGGGCACGGATCCGTGCGTGGCTGTAAACACCGGGAAAAGTCCTCGGGAGTCCCCCCGCTTCCTCCTCCCGCTCCACCCCGAGGGACCCTCGCCGCCCCCCTGCGCCCGCGATCGGCGGAGCCCCTGGACGGTCCCGACGGGGATCATTCGGGGGCTCCGCCGGTCCCGGGCGCAGGGAGGGCGGCCCCGGTGCGATCCCCTCGGTCTCACCTTGGGTCGGCGGAGCCATCGGCGGAGGGCAGCGGGCAGCATGGCGCGTCCCGCAGCTCTGCCGCCGCCCGGCTCCCCGCGCCCGCCGCTCGCCGACGGGGCGGGTCGGCACCGGGCACCGCCCGGGAGGCGGATCGGAGCGGTGTCCGCCCAGTCCCGGCACCGGGACGACCCGTCCGCTCCTCGACGGACCGGTTCTCTGTGATGGGAAGGGTGAGGGTGCGTCTCCCGAGGGGCGGGATGGGTTTCACCGCCGGCTTTTCTTCCCGGTCTCGGTTCCTGTCTCAAATTCCCGACTGCAACCTCGGTTATCCCTCTCCCGGTTCCTATCTTCCCGCAGTCCAACCTTCCGGGGACAGGGACACCCCAACGCTTCCCACATCCCCCCGAGCATTCCCGGAGTGATGGGGGCCGCCAGGAGAGGCACCCGCAGGCAACTTTACTGTGCAAGGCATGGCGTGCGGAGCAGAGTAATGCAGTGGGAAGGAGATAAAGTGGCCACTCGGTGAGAGAAAGAGGGACAAAGTGGCCAAGAAGAGGTCCCAGAGGGTGCTCGGGGTGTTGGGCACAACAAAGCACCCTGGTTGTGCCAAAGGAGATGTTTGYTCCAGACCTGGCACTGCTGGCCACAGGATGTGGGTGCCGATAATTCAGGTGGCTGAAAGCCTAATGGGGTGGATTCATGGGTAAAAAATCCGTGGAGCTTGGCTGAACAAACACGGCGGCGGCACCTCCTCGGCTTCAGAAAGTCCCTGAGTCATGGCAGTGCCCAGGCTGCACCAGATGGATGCAGGTGTGGGATGGGCCCCGGTGTTGGGGCCCCCTGTGTCCCCCCCCAGACTCTGGCTCTGTTTTCAGCCTGTCCTGGCTCCCATAAATGGGGGTCTCTGTGCACACAGTGAGCCTGGAGCCCTGCTTGTCCCACAGGTGC